TCCTCCACGTCCAATTACATTTACGCCAATACACATCAAATCAATATTAACTTCATTGAAATTTTCAAAGTGTGAATTTTCCACCTTTTTAAGAATTCAAAACCATAAATATATAATGTATTATATCAGTATTACAATAGAAGCGCGCGTAACAATCACCAAACCAATTATCAACATTAAGCACTTACTATTACCTCAAAAGCTTTATAATTAGTATTAGTAACAAAGTTGTAACTTTGTTTCATATAACATTGATACATATAATACTGGACTTGGCTTTCCAAATCGACGCTCAGTGAGATTCGAACTCATAACTAATAATACCAAATTTAACATAAGATTCTTACCATTTGGACAAAGCATAGTAAAAATAAATATAATATAGATAGTTATTAATGAATTGACTTACAAATGCAGAACATTTTGTATGCTTCCTTCCCTTGGGTACTTGTGAACTTGTGGCCACTATAGTTGGGGCATTGTAATTTCTTGTCTTCTACTTGACAATTAAAGAGAAAAAAAAAAAAAAAAAAAAACCGATTCAGCCCCCTGTAATGATGAAGTCTGAGTGATATTTGACAATTATTGAAAAAAGAGATTAGCATCATATGGACTTAATTAATTTGATGTACTTGGGAGTGACGTGTTCTTTTGCTGAGCAATTAACATGATTAATTAAAATTGATTGACAGGTTATACTATTGGATAAGAAATATAGTCAATCAATCGGAAGCACATACAAACTACTCACTAATCATTAATTTCCTTAATTGAAATTAATAGTGTGATCCACATTAGGCAATTTGTCACCAGCACCGTGAACTATTTACATAAGGTTTATTTTTAATATATTGATATTTATTTTTTAAAAGTGTATTTTTAATATATTAAAAGTTGATTTTTAAGTATACTATCTAAAAGTTAACATTCACTATATTAAAAATGAACATTTAATATATTAAAAACGAATATTTATTGGTGGTCTACATTCCAATGTAATCATATCTAGTATAATTTGTCGGATGGGATTGGTTGGGGCTAGGAAGATAGGTGATGGATTGCCTAGTACAAGTGCATGCACTTGTACATGTGAATAGATGGATTTGTGATGGTGGAGTTTGAAATTATTATAAGTATTATTATAAAGAAATAATTATGTGATCAATTTTCAAGTTCTACTTTCAAATTTTACTTCTATCATTGTCTGTCACATCAATGAGTAAAAGTGAGAAAGTAGAATTTCTGAGTATATGTAGTACAGTTCTTATTATAAGGTATTTGGAAAGACTTTTGATCTGTAAACGCTTATTAATGTGGAGATAGAAATCTCTGCCAACTGGCAGAATGCTGGCTTCCGCTACCGTGACATGTTCTGATACCAATAAATTGTCAGATCAAGCGTTTATTAATACGTCAATAATTATAACCAGTAGTGAATGCATAACGAACTTTATAGTGAGTGCATCGTTGTGATTATGTTAGATTTGTCTTCCAAACCTACGTCCAACAGTTGTACTACTTAGTTCAAATTCTTATTTTAGAATGATGTTTGGTTTTCTGAATTGATTAGAAATAGGATGAGATTTTGTGAAATTAGTTAATTTTAATTTGACTCTGTATTCGGGAGGAATAAGCTATATTTCCATTTCGAACATCTATTAGCTACATATTAATTATTATTAAATGACTAATAATATCATTTTTTTTTTCCCTTTTTAAGTTAGCAATTTAGTCATTTAACTTTCTACTCAAAGGATCTTGATTCTTGAAACGAATATTGAATTTACAAGAAATCACCTACTGCCTACTGGATCAAAAAAAAATTTACTATCTGACATGATAATATAAATATTTTTTAAAAAAAATTAATGTATAGGACAAGTCAAATTATGGTAACTAATAAGTAAAAAGAACTTATTGTCACGTTAGATGGTGAAGAATTTTGATTCAAATGTAGCATTTGCCATAGTAGAATATTGCATTATTCTTATATCCCTTTCAGCTGTGTGCTTTCCACATACAAGAGGTCCCCTATCTTTTTGTCATCTAAAATTCGAATATCCAAAATGGTAGGCTTGACCCACAAAGGTATGGGTAGCATGCGAACCTAACATATACCAAATATTTAAATTGCTAGCTTAATGTTCAATTAGAGGTGACATTAACTAGAGATTAATTATACCATGGACTAGGGTTTACCTTGCAAGGTGAACCTGCAAGGTAGACCCTGGTCCTAAATTGTATATTTTTAGTATTGAAATTGTGAATATCTAAAATATAAATTGTGTTTCTAAGTTTTGAGAATTTGTGAATACAATACATGATCATTATAAATTGTAAATTTTTAAAAAGTAAATTGTGTATCTTTGGACACGGTCCACCTTCCCATTGGACACGGTCCACCTTGCCAGGTGGACCCGTATCCACAGAATAATTTGCCTTAATTTCACCTGCCCATTCCTACCTATCAAATAAAAATGCAATTAACTCGTTCTAGACACAACAAAGTGACAAACTTAATTGGTCAATCAATCCAAAAAAGAGTTCATAAATTTTATTTTACTAGCAACAACAAATTAGAGAATTTAGAAGCATATAGCTAGGCCAGTTGATGAATTTACATCTTCCACCAACTCTAAGACAGGAGTAGAAGTAATAATGGGCGTTAAATGTGATATTCAAACTTTAAAAAAAATGTAATTAACCCTTATAATTGAAGTTCTAATACAATAAAGTTTAATATAGATGATTACTAATTTAGTATTTAATGCATGCAACTTTGCTGCCTTACCCGATCTCTAATAATGTTTTTACCTGCTTGGCATGCATGCATGCATGAATGAATATAATAATTCATTCCAGAATAATGTGGAATGATCCAACAAATTATTGAAACAAACAAAGGAATAAAAAAATAAAAAATAAAAAATCAGTCCCTCTATCCTCCTGTACCCTCCACGTCCAATTATGATACGCCAAGACACAACAAATAAATATAAAATTCAGTTGTTTTCTTGAAATAATGAGTATATATCATTATTATAGTCAATGAGTATCTCAAACAAATGAGATATTGTCAAGAAAAATAACTCTTGATAGGTAGAAGAGAGACCAGACAATCATTATCTTTACGAAGAATGATCAAATGATCTGTCGAGTTGAAATGTGAGAATTCAACTTTTTAAAAGAAAAATAACATATTATATATTACTTCGTATTACACAACGGAAATAATATATTGATTACAAATACTTAACATATCGCAGGCTTCCTTCCATTTGGTATTTGTGTCCATGGTATAATTATAGTATGGACCATGGTTTACATGGTAAAGTAAACCATTAATAAAAATGTTTATTTTTAGTTTATGAAAATTTATTTTTAATGTATTATATGTTGTTTTTTGAAGGTTACATTCATTTTTAATATTTTACGAAGTACTTACAAATAAAATATATAAAATAATTTATTAAAAATGAGCCTTCAGTACACTAAATATCAATATTTAATAAATAATCTACCTTGTAATATAGATTATAGAGCATGCATGGTCCACAACATAATTTGTGGCAACTATATAGTTGGAGAATTTTCTTGTCTTTTACTTGGCAATGATGAAAATGCAAAACCAGCGGATTCAGCCCACCGTAATGGTTTGTACGATTGAAATCCGGCAATTGAAAAATGATATTTTAGCTTAGCATCTTATGGACTTAATTCTCTCAAAAAAATCTTATGGACTTAATTAATTTGATGTACTTAGGAGTGACGTGTTCTTTTGGTAGGTAATTAATATGATTAATTAATTAATTAAAAGAATTATGTCATAAAACTGATTTACATGTTATACTATTTGATGGGAAAACTAAGAGCGTTATGTTGTGTAATTGTGTGCATCATACATGACGTTATTTTGACGTTTGACTTTTTAAAAAAAAAATCAGTTTCGATTGTCGTTAACGCCGTTATGTTGTGCATAATTTGAACTATATAGTTCATTCATTTTGGATATATAGTTAATTCATTTTGGATATATAGTTCATTCATTCTGGATATATAGTTCATTCATTCTGGATATATATTTCATTCATTTATTTCATTCTGGATATATAGTTCATTCATTTTAAGTATATATAGTTCATCCATTCTGGATATATAGTTCATTAATTCTGGATATATACTTCAAATTATGCACAACATAACGCCGTTAACGGCAATCGAAACTGATTTTTTTTTTTTTAAAGTTAGATGCGCGTTTTTAATCAAAACGACACCGCTTTTGCAATCGTGTGTGCATCACGGCATAATTTGCCGGAAAACTAAGGGTAAGCTTAGTTCATGGGTTTACACACTAAGAATGAGAATCAAAATCATAATTAGTGTTTGGTTGATAACTTTTTAAAATAAACTAGGGATACACGAAGGAAATTATTAGTACTTTGAACTTTGAAAGTGCTTCAGTTCAGATTTCGGGGGAATAGGAATCGGAATGGGAATCAAATACTATTATGGATTCCGACAAGAATCTTACATACCCCTCCATGACAAGACAGAGCATCAAGATCTACATATATACAATGAGTAATATAATACTACACATACTCTCACATTCTACTCCCTGTTTACATGTCATCTTTTGATTCTATTACTTTTTCTTTTTTTTTCATCTTCCTCCGACAATATCAACACATATGACGGGAATTTTACTCTCTTGGAGTCCATTTATTATTTTCTATATACAAGTAGACATCATCAAAGAGGTTTGAGTTTTAGACTCTCTCTTTGTTTTCAGCAAAATTGCAATCGAGTAATTGCATGATAGTTTACCTTTATGTCATCCTTAACCGACTAGGATCACAAGGCGAGGTTTACTCAATACAGACCTTGATAGTGACTGTGGGTTTCCTTTGTCAAAAAATAATAATTCCTAGCATAATCAGGCAACTCAGATCAGCTTCACTATATTCTCCATTCCAGAATCAGTGGGAAAACACTGCAGGGGATAAAATGGATGAAATCTACATATTTCCCAGAATTCATAATAAAATTTCTGAGCTTCAACTCTTGCTTCTTTATAATTGAGATGTATAGTACTCCAGTTTGCAAGATTTGGGTACAGTTTAACATACACTATGCAGCTCATTTTCAACTATTAATACATATAAATACATGTTAACTTCCTACAAAGCTCTCTAGTCTTAAAGAGCTGGGAGATTGTACTATGGACCAAGAGCAAACCTGCAACTTTTTCTTTATGTTTTGCAGCTACATTTTGCTCCCTTCTTTGAAACTAGAATTATTCACTATAGTCAGATGACGAAGATGGTGAATCTTGACTCTCGCTTTCTATTTGCTCCTCGGCCCTGAATCTGTTTCCTTCATCCTCCGAGTCACCGTTGAAATATCCTTCAATGTCTTCATTACCCGGTGCATCTTCCTCGCCTTCAACTTCTTCATCGTCACCATCTATATAATCGTCATTGGCATAGTCTATATCATCAATTCCTTGATCAGCGTCATAGTTGCCACCGATTTCCATTTGCTGTCCAGACTTCCCACTGAAGAGCCCGGGATACTCTTCTGTCATAGCGTAGTCATCGTATTCATCCTCTGATGCTTGACCATTATCGTTCTCGAACCCTGATCTTTCTGGACTGCTATCGTTTTCAGCAGCCTCGATTTGAATTTGTGCTGTTTCCATTTCCTCCTCCTTCCATTGCTGCTCAATGGAGCTAGCCCTGTTGTCAGCGTTAATTGTTATAACATTCTTCACTGGCCTTTGCCTACTTCTGGCTGAGCGACGACCCTTTCTTCGCCCCCCTTGTCCCTTCGATTGTCCTTTCCATCCTGGCAGTGCCCCAAGTCTGTGAGAAGCAGATTCGGGCTTGGAATCAACGATTTTCCTCTGAGATTTCTCGATACTGATACGTCTACGACCTCTTCCCCGACCACGGCCTCGTCCCGAGCCCGATCCATTTTCGACATTAGGCCACATTCCAGCTTCATGCAGAGCTTCAGCAGGAACCTCCTCCGCAACGTTTTTTGGAATAGTATATTTTGATGGTAGCGCCTTTGCACATTGAAATTCATGTCAAAATATTAAGAATTCCATTTCCATCAAAATACCCAAAAATTAAAAAAAAAAACATTTAAGAACTCACAGAGAAATTTCGCTCTCCTTTCTGAGATTCCTCTTTCTGCTGTTGTGTGTAACATATGGATGTATCGAGTTCCATAAGCCTCAGTGCTAAAGCCGCTGTCGTGTGAGGTATCCATGGAAGCACACCGACCCTCTCGAAACCAGCAGGCTGATCACCAATGCCCAACAACTCATTCGAGGTCTCGTAATTTGACAATAGAAAGTCTCTCTTAATCGCACATTCTAACATTGTTAAAAGCTGGAGCCCGACACAAAGAAAATTGAGATTAAAATGTGAATAATAATCTGGACTTAAGGTTAGTAAATTATTGTTGTTCAATAAAAATTTAGATTTCGACCTGAAGTAGATCTTCAGCTGAAGATGCAGTCTGTAGCTTCATACCCCAATGGCTTCGATACTCCTCTGACCAAACAGGTTCAAAAGCTTCAGGAAGAACGGAGACCTATAAAAGCCAATGTCGCCACTATATATGAGTGAAAGTGGGAAGAAATAATTGGTAGAAATTAAATAAACTACAAGGATGAGATTCTTGCCTCCAGTGAAGCTAGCTGTGCTTTTAACAATCTAATACGAATGGGAGGTGACGAGTATAGAGCACGGAAAGGGGAAAGATACTCGTCCTTCAATTTCTCTTTGCACCTAGTCAAATGTTCGGAAAATTTCAAGTTTTTGGCATAGGTTGTATGACAAAAAGGACAGTGGTTTTCCTCAAAGTACAAAACATAGCAGCGGTCACAAACTCTCAGCAGGTTTCTCCGTCTTATCTTTCCCTCCTTCGTTGCACATAAAAATTTAGAATCGAGACATTCTTCCCACATCCACTTCTCAAAATCTACGTATCTCCTCAAAGCATCGCTTTTCTCAACTATGTTCCTTCCAACCCCAATCATAAAGGATGATATACACGGAGGGCTATTTGGGTCTTTGTCAAGGGTTGAAGTTTTTTCCAAAGCTTCCTTTTTTACGTCATTTTCAACATCTGCGACAGAATTCATCATTTGCAACATATTTCTTCTTGCAGTTTCCTTGAAAGTCACTTCAATTCTTTGCAACATCAAATGCAAATGGGACTCTCTGATTCCACGTACATCCAAGGATGCCAGGAGGGCATCAAAACCCTATATGTCGAGGAAATAGAAGGTAAACCTGAATGAGAAATTGCATCATAGATATAGACTACGCAACATGAATATAGGTACCTTTTCGGAATCAATAAGCCTCCATTGACCATCACGCAGCTCAACAAAAATTCTGCCATAGCCTGGATCATTTCGAGAAGAAGTAATGAACTGCCAATATCTGTTGCGTCTCCGATCCTGTCCAAGTGGCAATGACCTATATACATATGTCTGCTCTGCCCTATACCCAATATAAGTTTTAAGCTGCATGCGCGATTTCTCTGCAACATATCCCAAATGCTGAACCTGAATATTATCGGGGCCAGCAGAAAACTCTTGTAATGGAAGATTTCTTTCAACAATAACATTACTAGAGTAGTTTGGGTCATTCCCTGGGTTATTTGAATCCCCTGGCTGAGCAGCATTATTTGCATTAATAACAGATGAAAACTGCATCTTTATCACATAATCATCTTTGAAACGACGTTTGTCAAGTTGTGCTTCTGCCCACATCTGCTTCTTCAATGCAGACGCTGCTTCCAAGCGCTCCTGAAAAGGTTAGCGACTTTCACTCAAGAAAGGTAAATGGGAAAGCAGTAAATTAAATAGGGAAGAAGCACAGGACACAAACGAACCTCTAAAGCAAATCGGATAGAGTTTCCCTCGTTAGCAAATCCAACCAAAGCAACAAGGGCATCAAGGCGCTCTTCGACGCTCAGATCAGAGTACTCTCCATCCATGAGTCCTTGAACCCATTGTTCGCCTGCACTTCCATCATCTACTATTGTGTTTTCTTGGTCAGGAATACTACTCTCACATTGACTGCCAGTATCAACTAATTGATCACCAGAAGTTTTTTTCTCCCCCATCAAAGTAGGTGAAATCTGAACACTACCTGGTGGCATCTCAGCCAGATCGTAAGAAATTTTGTGATCTTCTAATCTACTTGGTTTACAAGACCCACTGCTTTTACTTATATTTGTTTCGTCTTCTAAATTGTCAACCTCGGGATCCTCTGCTGCATCACTTTCAGAATCTTCTTCTTTCTCACCATCATCTGCTTCCTCACCATTCAAACATCTATTTTTAAAAAGGTGAACTTTTTCCCTGGCTGCGGCAAGAAGAGCTTCAGCATCAGCAGGATCCTTCCTGTAAGGCGTACGCACACAGTAAGTGGAAGGAGCAGTTCTCTCAAAAAGCTTCGTATCCCTTGACAAAGCAGCAGCAATAGATGCTTCTGGTGTCTTACTCGTGGTAAGGTCCCGCAGACCAGATGCCTTTACAATTTACACGGAAAGAGAAAAAAAGGTCAGTCAGCTGACTACCATGAAATAGGGCAATTGATTCTAAAGTTACCTGAATCCTTTCTGCAACATCCAGTATTGTCAGGCCCTTGCTTCCCTCGAATGAGAGAACATGAAATGCTGCGAATTTGACTGTTCCAGGTGTTAGGCAATGTCGAGATCTCCTGGGATTGGAAAGACCCCTTTCTTGCATTTTCGAAAGAGCATTCTCTGCTGCAACTCCATTCCGTAAGTTGGAAATAATATCAGCAGCATCATTACCCTGCAGAGGCAATCTAATTAAGAAGAAAACAAAAAAGAAAAGCTACAAAAAGAGTTCAACGCTTTGCATGTGTATATATTGAATGAGAAAAGGCAGAATATTTATGCCTCATTTTCATCCCGAAGACATGCAGGTTCAATGTTTCTTTTCGTCAACTTTGGGCCAAAACCTGCAGATAGAGCAAACTGCCGCAATATTTCAGGCCAAGTCAATGGGTTTAAGTGGCGCTGCCAGCTCCTTATATCAAAACCCCAAGCATATGCCTGTTACAAAAATAAAGCCTTAGTCCCATTCTATTTGGGTCTGCATTATAAGTGGCATACTAATTTTTTTTTTTTTTATAATGAACGATATAACTAGATCACTGGACAAAACAAGGAACAAAAAAAGAGCATACTCCTTCAACAATCTGGGGATGTCCACCTCCAGGATTAGCAGCATTGTTTTGATTCGCTCCAACCACAGCTGAAGACGTTCTAGCAACATCTTCAATATCTTTTATTATGGATCTCAGGAGAGCTATATGTATCTCTCCAAGTAATCTTGGATCCTGGCAATAGATGAAAACACATGGATGTAATATGGGTATGATTGTTATTTGACAACCCAAAAAAGTCAACTCGCAACAAAAATGAAATGTGCAATGGAACTTACATAATCATGAAATGCCTGAACAAGCTCATCCAAAGTGAAAGGCCAGAGCGAGAGAACATCAGAAAACGTAATTAAGAATCTCCAGACCTGAAGAAATATCACATCGGTAAACATCTCAAAGACAATGACATTCTCCTGAAGTCATTTAATGTATATCCTTTGAAGAGGATGAAAATGAAGATATGAATATTATTCAGCCAATAGAACTGGGGGAATAGGACGTTAAGTAAGTTTCTCACCATTAGAAGATTGCCCACATTTGCATCAGAACCAATCCAGGGTTGAATTCCAAATGGTTTTTTCAGGAAGACAAACTTGGGTGGGAATTCCCTGAGCATATCTAAAATATGAATTATAAAATATATCAGGTGTTAAAACGTTTGAATATATAATAGTAGAAAGGGAAGACAAGACAGAGCAGGACTATATAGTACTTTCCAATAAGTTTTCCACCTCATAACTCGTTCATGACATAATTTATGACTCATAACAAACCAAATGTACCATATATGGAGTGCAAAATAGTGTAACCACCTGCAAATGACTCGAGGTTTTGTAGAGCTTCATTGTCCAAAGCTAGAACTGAAGGCAAACCCTTCGTAGAGGCAGCCAACTCCATAAGTTCCAATCTTTCATCCTCAATTAATTCTATGGATTCTTTAGCAATTCTACGAGCAGCAGCCCTCTCATTAGCAGCTTTAAGCTTTGCAGCCTCCTTCTCTCTACGCATCTCTTCTTTAAGCTTCATTTTCTCCACCTGTGAGGATGGGTGAGAGGACAAGTTATTAATTGGAAACTAAACATAGGTGTATAGATGAGTTACTAGATGAATTATGCATTGCAACTTACTCTCTTTGATTCTTTCTGGAGAAATTTTTCCCTCCTTTCCATCTCACGCCTTTGCTCCCTTAGGCACCGTTCCTCCTCACGCTGCTTTTCACGTAAAAGTCTTTCTTCTTCCTTCCGCCTCTCACGATCCTGTCTCTCCATCTCTTTCCTCATTTGCTCTTCTCTCTAAGGAAATAGAGAACACCAAATAAACATTTGTGACTGACAAATTATAACCCAACCATCCAAGTGCAACCCCGGAATTAAACCCTAAATGCATTAAATTGCAACCTTTCGCCTTAGCATGTCTTGTTTCTCAAGCTCTTTCCTAATCCTCTTCTCATGGGCTTCAACTTCCCTTGCCATTTTAGCCTCTTCACTCTGTAAAAAGTATACTCAAATAAGGTGAAACCCTTTTGGAAAAAAATGTTTTTGCATTCAATTAACCCTTTGCCCGACCACCCACCCACCCACCATCCCCCAAAAAGAAAGGAAAATGAATTAGCTGAAACCATGGAAACCTTGCGCTTCCTCTCCAACCGTTCCTCTTCATGAATGACTCGGGTCTCAGATGATACGAATTGATTTTCAAGCCCAGTGATGGGATGGGAACCAAAATTACCCTCGACACTAATTTTCCCATGAGAAGATCCTTGCGGAGCAACATCAACCTCTTCTGAAGCTGGAGATAAGTGGGCATGTCTCCCTTGCTGATGTAGTAGACTTAAAGTTGGCGGTTGAGTCTGTATACTGTATCCTGAGGGAAAATGCTCACTGTTATGGAGATAAGAGCGCCCAGAAGATAAAGAAGGCCTGCTTCCCTGAGCTTCAGAAGGTGAACTGTAATAGTGGTGCGGAACACTTCGTTCATATGCATCACTTCTGATAGATGGCTGCTCTGGAATAAACTGGTATTCAAGAAGAGTCCTTGTAGGCCCCTGACATGTAATTCTAATAGTCAAAATTTTAACTCCTCAATAACTGAAGCAAGCCTTAAAGATGTGAAACAATATATTGGCGAGAAATCAACCTACATATACAATTCAGAATGACAAATATAAGAACAAAGAAAACACCAATCACTTCTAACCTGTTACCCTGTTAGTAATTCTACAATACTTCTCAGTTTTTTTATTAACTTGTAAACTACCTCTTACCTTGCTATACAAGTTAACCAGTTTTCAAGGACATTTACATAGTACAAAATAGATTAAAAGCATTTTTAAGGTCTGAAGTGAAGAAACAGAAACTCTGATGAAATCAAGAGTTTCAATAGTATATACAAGCCTAAAGGGCATACTATTATTAGCCTTGCCAAGTTAATAGGTTTTAAACTTTGTGAATGATAAGTTTAGCCCAGGTAGACATAAATAGACGAGCCACTTTACTGACTATGATCTTTAACTTTATTATTGAAACTATCGAAGTATGCAAATGAACTTTAACTTTATTAGGTAACTTCAAAGATGTGCTTTAAGAAAACAGTTGTATTTCCAAAAAAGGACGAGAAATATTAATTACTCATGAATACATCATAAAGGCAGAAGCTAAAACCAGAAAACACCACTAATGGGTATTTCAAATTTAGCAGCATGAGAGCTGAGAATATCTTGAAAAGAAATGAGTAAGATAACCTTGATTTGTCTACTATCTTGTCTCTCATATAGTTCAGTATCAAAAGACCGTTCCGCTGGTTTGTGATGCACTGCTGTCACTGTTCCATGCAGGAAGAGTCAGGTTCACATACTTAAGGGAAGCTTTATAAATTATAAAATTCAAATACACATCAGAAAAATATCAAATACAAATAAAAAATCAAAGATGGTTCCAAATTGTCAACATATGATCAATTTAGAAGTTCAATGCCAGGTCATTAGAGATGGGAGACCGGGTATTAGTATATGCAGAGTATAACAAAGTACCTCACTCAAACTACCATACTATAAATTACATGTCAAGAGGTAAAGCTCCTCCAATATCACCGCAAAACCATAAGACAAGAAATGTCTAGTTAATAGGAAAAAAAAAAATCAAATTATATTTGACATCAGTTCATCATATAACCAGCATAACACCTCCTATCAACGCTGCATGGAACTATGTCATCTAGAAAGCAACTGCAACCTAGTCTCAGTGATCATTTATTGGGCTTTAAACAATATATAGCCCCAACCACCTAGTATGTCTATTCTAGCACTCATCAATTGTACAATGTCTTTATTACTCGTCATCAAACTTCACCACACTTTTGAAACAATGCCATATACATATTTTTAATAGCAAACAGAGTTTTACTACATGTACTCCTAAATCTTACTCCTTCCTGATGTGACAGGCTCTGATAAGTTACTTTTTTCATGTGGGTCCCAATACAAGTGTCTACATCAAGGTTTTGTGTGTGGGAGTAAAAATTGTGAGTTGAATATGGGAGTTCACATAGTATTTTCCTAGCAAACTTACCAATGGGAGCACCAAATGCACCTGGTGGCAAGGGATCAAATTCCATTCCAAGAATAGGCCCGTCCTCCCTCAATGGCTCTCCTAACTGCGCCTCAACAAATGCAATAGCACGAAGCTCTGATATAGCCTGTGGAGGCTCATAATACCGCTTCATGGCTGGCATTTCAGCTGCATACCTCGGAACTGCAGTTCCAGGTCGATGAACCACACGGGGATGGTGTTGTTGCAAATCCACGGGCGTATGTGGGTTCAATCCTGAAGCAGAGGCAGATGCATGCCCACTCCTCAATTCACCGCCAGTTGCAATGTCATCGTGTCCACAAGAAGACACCATTGCCGCCGGCAAATCTTCTTTTCGCGCCCGCTTTACTGAGGGGACTGAGGGGGCCTTTCGGTCCTTCAGTCTCCTATGGCAGAACCACATTTGTAGCTGCCGATCAGTTAACCCCAACTTAACTGACAGCTCTGCTCTCACTGCCTCAGATGGGTAAGCTTCCTCTACACCAAGAAGCTCCAATCAGATAAGCAATCGATCAATTAATCAATACAGTCCGGCCACGGATGTTTAAACAGAAAAGGAGAAATTAAAAACGACAATATAAATAAAATAGATAACGGAGAAAATCACATAAGCCATTGCCATAAACCGCATGAATAGAGAGTAAAAATGCTCAGTAATAAAGTTAAAGGAGTAAAAGATGAACTAACTGGCATAGGTCTTTTCAAGAATTTCCAACTGCGAAGCTGTCTTCATTTTGCGCTTAACCTTAGGCTCTCCTCCTTCCGGTGGCTTCTTTTTCTCCACATCAGAACCACCACTTCCGCCGGCACTGCCTCCGGCAACTCCAGCTGGCTCAGCAGACTCTCCGCCACCAACACTCCCGCCATTTCCACCACCAGGCTCCATTACTAAACAAACCCAAAATCCCAAACAACTCTTTCCACTAACCAAAAAAATGAACCGTAAGTGAATCAATAAGCTTTAAAACTCGGCACCCTCCACTAAAACACCTCAAAATCGTTATCTTTCTCGTTCTAAAACTTAGGGTTCCCAAATTCCGAAATGAAAGAGCTTTTAGAGAGAGAAGGGGGTAGAGAGAAGAGCACGGAATTGGGTAGCTTTTGGTTTTGACGAAAAGATAGAAAATTTCACAAACCCACAAAAGTTTAACTCGTAGAAAATGCTCACACTTCTCTCACCCATCACTCTCTCTCTCTCTCTCCCACTAAAAGTAAAAAAAAAGGACTGGAGACTTTCTCTCTCCCTCTATTGCGTATTGATAATCTGTACAGCAAACAGCGACTGTCGTTGAGGTGTGAAGGTGAGATTTAGCGAATTCCCATAAAATATAATCAGTACAATTATTATTATTATTATTATAGAGTAATAGTAGCAGGAGTAAGAAAGAAACAAAAAGAATTGAAGATGAGCAACTATGAGCATACATTTGCACAGACTCTCTCATCCTTAATCCTTTTCTTGGAATTTTCTTTTCAGGTACTATTTTCTTTCTTTCTTTTCTTTTTTGTTGAAATTATGAAAAGAAAAAACAAATATATAAAAAGAATTAATGCTAGTGTTGATGTGGGTGGGTGGGATAGATTGTAGATAAAGAGATTACTGGTAGCAGTAGATTAGATAGCAATAAAGAAAGGAGAATATATATATATTTATAATGTATGTATGACTGTGTATGTACTCATGTGTGTATATGTGGAGGGTTAGTATTGTCAGATTCTTGGAAATGGAAAGCTTTGATTCACAAATGGAATTGTGGGTTAGTTTGGGAAGTTTGTTCCTCTCTCTACTTTCTCTCTCTTAAACTGTTCTTGAAGTCAGACCGGTTTTTGGTGTTCTCATACTACTGCGATCCCGTCAGAGGTTTAAGACTGTGGTGCGAGGATGTTCTTCCACGCGCGGTGGTAGTGAGTGGTGGGCACGCGGTTCGGTTGTTACTAATTATGGCGGTATGGTGAGTCGCGTGAATGGAAATCGCCTGTAGGTGGGTAGATATGGGTGATTCCAGCATCATAAAGTGTGGGGCCGCCTAAATTAAAGATGAGATAATCCACAGAAATCTGGACGAGATTATAGTGAAATGAAAGTTTGAATGCAGTAATAAAGTGGCGAAATTTTCTAGGTTACAATGTCATTAAATTACATGATGTTAGTTTATTAATGTTAACTTTTTTATTAACTTTGCATAAGATATGAGATTGTTTAAAATTTAGTAATAGGGAATTTTATTACGTAACTGTTAATAATAGATTTTTCTGAGATTAGTAATATTAGCACTGGGTAACAATTATATATAAAAAAATTAATTGTTTATTGTTAACATATAAAAATGAGAATCATTTATAAGTTATAAATACAATGCATGACGTGGATCCTTGTAACTTAATTATATTTTACACAATAATATACTTACCTTAAAATTCATAAGAGAGTGTTTTGTCCCTCTTTACAATAAGATTTTAAGGTGTGTATGATTCGCACATTGAAATCGGAATTGTAATAAAAATTAAATACTTGGTAATAGTAATAAGTTTTTGTGAAAGTATTTTGCATGTTTGGTAGTATGGTGGAATTGAAATAATTATCAATATTGATATTTCGTTGGGTATGTTATTTTGCTAGGCGATCTGCGAATCGAGCTGTTCATGCTATTGCAAGGGGGGCCTTTTCTTGGTCAGGTTACGGGGAGTGGTATCACTCATCTCCCTAGTTTCTTGTGAACATTCTCGTTTCTGATTTAATGCATTAAGCTTTTATTCTAAAAAATACAAAAATAAAAAATCAAGGTATTTGATCCTAATATAATGATACCTAAAGCATCAAAATGAACAAAAAATCAAAACAAAATTAAAAAATATTAATTCAAACTTAAAAATTAGACTACTAATAAGATGAAATAATACTCATTTTTTAATTAGAAAATGAGATTTGTAATTGAAGATGTAATCAAATCTCATAGTTATATTTTAAAAAATTGTCAATCAAACAGTAATTATGATTTTAATTATCATTCTTAGTGTGTAAACTCATAAACTAAACACGCACTTAATATACTCATGTCTGCCTAAACCTACAATCAAACCAAAAAAAATAATGGAAGTATCTGATGTGGACTTTGTAAGTTGTAACCTACATGGGAATCACATTCACCATCATGATTAGATTGTGTGAAATTTTCTGAAATATTAATTTACTTGACCAATGCAAATATAAAAAATATAAAAACAAAAAATCAATACAATTAATCTTAATATAATGAAATCCAAAACGCCGATATGAATAACAAATTAAAACAAAAAAGTTTAAGGTACTAATTCAAATTTAAAAATCAAATTACCATGGAATGATACTTTTTTAATTAGGAAGTAAGGTTCTTAATTGAAGGGGTAATACAATTTTATAATTGTGTTTTAAAAATTGGTCAACCAAATAATAACTATGATTTTTATTTTTTTTGAAGAAAATAATTATGATTTTTATTCTCATTCTTATTTCTTAGTATATAAAGCTATGAACCAAGCAAATACATACTATTTATACTTAGAGGGTTTTCTGGAATGCAATCAGGGTTTGTGTTTCCAATCAATTTGCCAAAGGTCATATTCAAGAATTGAGCTTTCTGCTGTGAAGTGCTTTTGCATGTCCTTCGTTTTCTTCGCCTCGTTTTTTATTAACTCATTTTTGTCTGTTTTCTTAAAATATAAAATTTAAAGTAATCAAATTGTAAATATATAACCAGGACTATGTGGTCCAATGGTACTCGGGTTGGACTTTTATTTGGAAGATTATGAGTTTGAGCCTCAGTGGAGGCGTTATTGGTTCTTTGTGTTTCAGTAGGTTGAGAAAGTATATGAACAGATACTACAATGTAATAGAGCCAGTAACTTTCAAAAAAAAAAAAAAAAATTGTAAATATAAAATTTAAATATAATAATAATGATGATGTAATAGAGGTAGAAGATCAGATGTTCCTTGATAGTTTGACCATCCAACTTCTCTCATCAGCTTCTGAAACGGTCAAATTTTAATTAAATCTGATCTGTCGAACAATTTCCATTAATTGCAGCTTTTGACTATGTTGCATAAACCAATTAATCGAGTAAAATAGTGTTTATTTACAAATATAAATGAAAGGTAGAGGGCCAAGAAAACTTGTTTGATTAAACAATGAATATAAGATTTGATACTTTTAACCAATTAAGGAGTTTTCTACTTTGCTCAATATGTAAGCCACATCAATGAAAAATGCTTAATTAATTAGGTTACGTTGTATTGCATGGTTATGAATTGAATTCTTATTAATATTTTTTGATTGAGAGTGTCACATAATATTTTTTATGCGCTTTATTTTTTATTTTTTTTTTATGTGAATTGTTGAACAAATTATTGTGCTTGAGGGTCTGGGTTGTATGTTTGATGGTAAAAATGAGGCTGAACATGGCATTGATGGGGAGACAATGATGTTCATGAAGACTGAAGGAGTTTTACACGACCAAAATGGCGTTTTGAAAATGGGTCTTAAATTATTTACATTAAGAAATAAAAATAATTTTGTTATTGTCATGGGTTCAAATCATCAAAATATAAAATAACATATCAGGTAATAGTATCATTTAACCATTGATCGAGAGGGACAGAGGGTAAAATATAAATTTATTTTTCTCAAATGGATAGTTAATGCCAATAGTCATTCACTAATTAAATACGGAGTAGTAATAATAGTTATAATTGATATGTCAACTAACATATATACACAAATCAAATTGTGTTCTATGACATACATACTCTAAAACTTGTTAATTTTTATGTGAAATTTTGTATATTTCATTCTTTTTTCAAAATAAGTTATAAATACAACTATGCTCAAATATATATTTGTAAGGCTAATTTTTTAGAAATATTAGACGTGTCAACACTCCGCACTAATAAGATCATATGCGATATGTTCGACTAATTAAGAGCTACACCCACTTGATCACTCCTTTATGAACTCTTCAATATTAAAATATATCTATATTTTTTTATGAAGGCATATTTCCAATTGTTATACCATATACTAGGGTTGTTCACCTTGCATTGTGGATCATGGTCCGAAAGAATATTTAGATCATGTGCATATAGTTAACATATTACGTGTATTCAGTTAATAAATTATGTACCGACTACAATTACATATTATGTATCTGCAGTTAACATATTATGTGTTTTCAGTTAATAAATTATGTACCTACTACAATTAACATATTATGTGTTTTTAGTTAATAAAGTATGTACCTACTACAATTAACATATTATATGTATGTAGTTAATAAATTATGTACATGCATTAACATATTATGTAGCTTCAATTTATTTATAAGTTCATAATATGTTAACTGAAGGTACATAATATATTAATTACAATTATATACCAATATCTAGCCCATGGTATAATTTGTCCATATTTTTAGAGTAGGTGTCGAGTAACAAATATGAACTGTAATATGGATTTTGCAAAATGGGCCACACAATCAGAAATGTCCAATTGATTTGGGTTAGACTTCTACAACAAACTTTTTGGGCAAATTATTGTATGGACCATGACCCACACAATGTTACGTGGACCATAACAAAAAATACATTTTTAATATATTAAATGTACATTATTTTTATACTGAATGTACATTATACAATATAATGTATACCCAGAACAAAAATAATATACTTCCTCTGAATATAATGTACATTATTTTTCTACTGAATATACATTATTTTTGTATTGAATGTACATTATTTTACAACAGACAAAATATGGTCCACACAATAATGATTGAACTTTTTGGGCTAAGGTGTCCATGGACAAATTATGCTGTGCATCCGTAGCATACGGATGCAAAAACGACGTCGTTTTATTAAAAACGCACGTCTCCCTTAAAAAAAAAAATTCAGGTTCGATTCCCAGCAACAACATATGAACTAAAATTCCATAATCGATGAACTATAATTTCAAAATCTATGAACTAAAATTCCAGAATCTAATCTATGAACTAAAAATTCTAGAATGAATGAACTAAAATTCCAGAATCTATGAACTAAAATTTCAGAATCGATGAACTACAATTTCAGAATCGATGAACTAAAATTCCATAATCTATGAACTAAAATTCCAGAATGAATGAACAACATAATGTTGTTGCTGGGAAGCGAACCTGAATTTTTTTTTAAGGGGAGACGCGCGTTTTTAATAAAACGACGTCGTTTTTGCATCCGTATGCACCATGCATGGTGCATACGGATGCACAGCATAACTACTCGTGTCCATGCGCAATCTGGATTATTTCAATTAATTTTTTTTTTTGTTGGTCTAACTGCATGTTTTATTGCGCAATCAATTAGAATCACACATCAACCCTAATTCTGTTTGTAGTATATAGGGTCTCAATGATTGCAAAACACCTCTAATTAAACTAGAAGATACCAGCATCATCTTATTTACACCCTATGGATTAAAAAAATAAAATAAAACTATTAGTTAGTAAAGAATTATATATTTTTATTTTGTAAAACAAAATGAATTGATATAATTTATTTATTTTTACATTTTGACATTATAAAAAAAACTCGTACAACAAATTAAAATAGACTTTAGCTCTACATACATGTAAACCACATGTGATAGCGCGTGTGTATATATGCACATATGTGGGTTTCATCTTATGGTATATGGTTTGAAACTTATTGTGATTTAATTATTCATATAGAAATATAAAATGCTTTTCTTGGGCTGATCAGGTCAAGAAATCTGAATTCTAAAGATAAAATATTCTTGCCTCAACATCTATCAAATCTTCTAGGTTACAAAAGTTTGGACTAGCTTCTGATGAATGAATAGGTTATGATAAGACAATGTGGAATGTGTATCATGTTTCTAAAGATTGTTACTATATATATAATATATGGTATAAAAGAAAAAGGAGTTTATATATATATATATATATATATATATATATATATATATATATATATATATATATATATATATATATGTTAATATTTCAGTGAGACAACTTGTTCTCATTAAATCGTGAGATTTAACATGAATACACATAATCTACTACACGAATGGATACAAATTACTCCAGAATAAATTGTGTATATTCATGTTTGACAAATTACACAATTTAATTTATGTGTATTCATATAATAGATTGTGTATATTTATATTGAGTCTCACGAAAAATGATGATCTAATTTAATCATTACTATATAGAGAGAGAGTCAAATTCATTGCTCACAATTCACAAAGTCACAAGCCCACTACTTATGACTCTCAATCGTAGTTGGAATAGCCGAATAGATCACTTAAGAAATGTAATTTTTTTTTTTTTTAATGGTATGACATTTGCAATCTTTCAAATTTTTGAAAGATTGCAAATGTCTTATCATTTAACCAACTTTTGTAAATAAATATTATTGATATTATATAAATTTAAAAATAATCATTATTTAATTATAAAATATACTCCATATCTAATTATTTTAAAATTCATATTTTATTTAATATGTATATTTAAAATTTATTTTTTTCTTTGAAAATAAATTTACATAATTTAATATATTATTTTATTATTTTATTAATTAAAAATATTTTTTAATGTGATATGATAGTGAAATATTTTTTTATGTAAATTTTATTACAAGGATGCAAAGTGAATAATGTTGAATTGCAAATATGGTGAAGTGACAATGGAACTCACTTTTAAAGATAAAAGAAAGTTTTTCATAGATACAACATAGCCTAAGTTCCAGTTGACAAATGCTGCTTGTAATTCATTTTAATTTTTATTTAGTGTTTTCTTTAAATCATTGTAATACTCTATAATTTTTAAAAATGGTCTCACTTTTATATCATAATACAATAAAATAAAGAAATTAATGTACAAAAAATCTGCCGTGTGCTACAATGTGACAACTTTTTTGCATTACACCTAAGCAAAAAAAAAAAATAAAATAAAAAAATAAAATAAAATAAAATAAAATAAAAATTTAAAAAAAAATTGTGTAGGCACTAGCCACATCATCTTGCAAAAGCACACTTTCAAGAATAAGAATAGCCTTAAGATTTCTCAGTGTCTTCCATTCTTAATTTCATATTCGCTTGCTGTCTCACATTGTTGCTAGTTGAATGCTTGAATTACTATATTATTGTCATGTTTATTTTTGAATGCTTAATAATATTATTATATTATAATTCAATTTATATTTTTAATCTTAGGATCCTCTTCCATTCACAAAATTTGCCATGGATAAATAAATTGGATTGGATCAGTAAATACGAATGCGAATGAAAAATTTCAAATCCCTCCTAAACGAATTTGATACGAATTCACTCCAAATCCTCTCTCCAGACACTCCATGAACACTCCAATTTAATTATACTCCTTTCAAATAATAAATCTGAGTTCAAATTCCATCATATGCACCTAAAAAAAAAAGTGCAAAAAGGTTTGTTAGCTGTATGTTATAATGTACTGATGATTTTGTTTAATTATACTCCACTCAAATCAAGTTTTAAAGCGCTGTATGAAACTATTCAAACATATATCATGCATTTAATATACTTTTTGAATGCTACTGGCTCTATTACAATGTAGTATCTGTTCGATCATATACTTTCTCAACCTACTGAAACACAAAGAACCAATAACGCCTCCACTGAGACTGAACTCACAACCTTCCAAATGGAAGTCCAACCTGGGTACCATTAGACCAAATAGTCTTGGTCGAAACCTTTTTTACTTAATTGGTACAGTACAGTTATTATGTACTTACTACTTAGTACGTAGAGAGTTATATATATTTGCTTCTTTTGGAATCAATACTTCATGCAATAATTAATTGAGAAATTAGACGACAAGATTAAATGTGATATAAGTTACATAGTCATGCATCTTATTAGAAAATTTTAATACATAATAACCAAATGTGGTTCATGTATAATAGTTTTTTTTTTAAAAAAAAAATTGTATAATAGTTAGGAGATCAAAAATGAAATTTATTCAAGAATGAACATTCAATATATTGAAAATGAAAGTTCAATATATATATATATATATATATATATATATATATATATATATATATTTTAAATGAAACTTATATCAATAGACCATCTTGCAAGCTGAATCATGACTCTTGATATAATAATTGAATGCACCTTTACAAGGGCCAATCACTTGGTCTTACAATTGTATTAGTAACCTGGTTTATCAACTATCCAAGCTTGGGTTTAAAAATTATGGTGTTTTTAATAATCTTATCTAACTAATTATACGAGTCAATATAAGTTATATCACTGAATTATGTCTGTATTATTCATTTATTTATGCTTGTGAAGTTGTACATCATGTTAAAATTATTGTACTTTAATTTTTCATGCTAAAAATAATCTTACACCATTACATATTTTGCTAGTTAAGTATTAAATACTAAATAAATTTACCTAATACCTTACTTACCAGAATAATTTACTTAAATACTGTATCAAACCAAATATATTTTACTATATATATATGGAGTATCATTTACATTTTTGCTATAATTCTAGTCCCCTGACATAAATTTTTTGACTCCGTCCTTATAGTGAGGGTACATAATTATAAGGGTGTGAAGCATTTTTGAACTTATTTGTAAGTATAAACATTGGGTGTGTTTGGTTTGTACATGGGAATTGGAATCATAATGGGAATCAAATACTTGGTAATGATAGTGTGTTTAGGTGAAAGTATTTTGTAGTATGGTATAATTGGAATGATTATCAATATTATTAATGTTTGGTTATGTATGACCCTATAATGAGAATAAATGTTCTAAAAATACAAACACAAAAAGTCAAGGCAATTAATCCTAATATAATAACATCCAAAGCACCAATAAGATGCGGAATGATACCCCTTTTTAATTAGGGAATGAGGTTTCTAACCGAAAGGATAATAAAATCTCATTGTGTTTTAAAAAGTTACATTGTCAACCTATGATTTTTATTCCAATTCCTACCTTAATGTGTAAACCCATGAACCAAACACAAAACATCTTCACTTTATTATGTTAATCGTTCGCCTTCACGCAATGCATGTTCTCTGACTAGCTAAATATACATACACATACATATACATGATACATATTAAACATTTCTCTTTAGCCTTTAGGTATTGACAGCTAAATCACAACTACGGACACACGGTAAATTAAATAAAAAATGCAACCACCCAACCTTAATTAGCTTCATAAAAAATCACAATCATCGTATCCTAGTGGCTGCAATTCACCAAAAAACAAAAAGAGTAAAAAAAGAAAAAAAAAAAAAAAAACAGTAAGAATATAATTCAGTGTATAGTATTTATATCACTAAATATTTTGGGGTTGAAGGGGAAGGGGCAATTGAATTAAGGTGAGTATAGTATCTAGGGAGGGAGAGGTTTCTTGAATTGCATGAGAAGTTTACGTGAAGCAATGGAATTTATTGGTGAGTCTCATTTATTTTATTTATTTTGCTCCACCCAAAACCATTGCTTCAGCTGCACTCCATGGCGACACTGGAACTAATACTACTGCAACCCTTTAGCTTTCTCATCCTCAGCTTACCATTAATTTTATATTATGCTATACCAGTTTACATAAATTAATGTTGTTTATAACGAATGTACATATATGTTTATTTGTAATATAATACAAAGAAACATTATGATATAATGATCTGATCTTCATGAATATTTTTCATAATTAATCCATAATGGCCCATGAATGTTTGTATCATATTGGATGAGCATCATTACAAAATATAAGGAACATATTACATACATCAATTTTCTAAAGCTCTCCTACTTTATGAGTTAGGTCAATAACCCTAAATATATGATCATTTGAAAAAAAAAATGTTTTTTTTTCAAGTTGTTATACTCCCTTTATGTTTTTTTTTTCTTGCAAAATAAGAAATATAACCACACTTCTTAAGTATAATTATTTCTTTTCTGAAATTCAACACTCTAAAAGTTGTGTGACTATTCAATATCGAAAAATGATGAAGGGCATGACAATAGATCGAATTCCTACCATACCCTAATAACCAATGATCATTCCCTATTTATTTTTTAGTTTTCATTTCTTCAATTTTGTTGGGCATTGGACTGGAAGGCCAAATCCAGCACCTGTTATCAAAATGTGACTTTTAACTGTTATGCAAGTATAAAAAAAATAAAGTTGTTTTGCTGAAGTGATGTGCTTAAAAAAATAAAGAATTTCTTCAAATGAATAAACATATATAGTTATAACTTTTCAATATTTGCATTTAAAAATTAGAGCAAGTTAAGCATGGATATTTCCACCATGGGTATATATCCCCTTAGCTTGTGGGAGAGTTATGAGTGTAATGCCACGCAAACAGTAGGTTTCCCCATCTACACTCAAGTGCTTCCACTGCTTATTATCTTAATTAATTATTTCATTGTCTTCTTGCAATATTTTATGTGTTTTTCAATTAGTGCATGATAAGGAAGGATACTTGATAACCTTTAGATGGTGTGTAAAAAGACATGCAACTACATTTATTCCACATGAAGCATTCCTCTACACCAGTAACCTCACCAATACGTGACTCTCAAGCAACCCTTTTCTTTTCCTTCTTCCCAACAATTTATCTGTTTTTCTACTTTAATTTTGTTCCGTATCTGTATTTAATCTTTAAGGTATACCTTTCTCTCCCCCGCCCCCCTCTCTCTCTCTATCTATCTGTGCACAAGTAGTGATGAGTGTTATTGATGATGAATTGAATTGAGAGACCGAGACCACTCTTGTGCTTGAATCTACCATGGCCTAAAAAGTGAGGGGAAAAAAGCAGAATTCTATACCTTCCCAACCCTCAAGAACAAGTAGCTTGAGGGAGAACATGCTTTCAAAGAGACAACTTGCTTTTTCCCTTTTCATATGACCTAGCTTATGAGTAGTAGTAGTCCTCCTGGGAGCTTGTTTATTTGGGAATAGTGGCGACGACAACGTACGATCGAGTAATGTTTTCTTAGCAGACAAATAAAAACAATGACTTGCAGCAGTGATTCTGGGGAGGATCGTCCAGCAAGATTGTTTGCTCAGAACAGTGGCGGTAATAATAATAATAATTCTGTGACCATAAATGAGATTACCAGACGTAGCGGAATGAGGGCTTGTCCTTCCTGTGGCCATCCGATCAAGTGTGAGCAAAAGGTTAGATAAATTATTTGTTTTTTTTTTGTGAGATTTGATTATGTGTTTTTCCTGAGAATATATGTATATATAGGCTGGAATTCATAATCTGCCGGGGTTGCCTGCTGGAGTGAAGTTTGATCCAAGTGATCAAGAGATTCTTGAACATTTGGAGGCTAAGGTCAGCTTGGATTCTCACAAGCTTCATCCTTTAATTGACGAGTTCATCCACACCCTTGAAGGAGAAGATGGAATTTGCTACACCCATCCTGAAAAGTTACCAGGTTAATTCATGTTTTGCATGTTTCTGCAATAATATAATGAAGCTTTCACTATCACCCGCCCTATGGGCATGGCAGCTCAATTGATTTTTGGGTGATAAATTGTATGGATACGATTCCAATAGTCCGACCTGCAACTACACCCAATGTGTTGAGTTTCTTATAGGCACCAGATACTGGTACTCCCACCTAATGACTGGCCTATCTTGTTGAGTCAGGATGTGAGAACCTTGGGCCAAGCAATTAATGTTTGTTTCTTTGATTTACACGTACGTTTGATGAATGGTTTTAATTATATTATGGGTTATTTGGTAACTTATAGGAGTGACGAAAGATGGTTTAGTCCGGCACTTTTTTCACAGACCATCCAAAGCTTATACGACCGGTACAAGAAAGAGAAGGAAAGTGCACACGGACGTGGACGGGAACGAAACCCGGTGGCACAAGACCGGGAAGACGAGGCCGGTGGCGGCGAAAGGCATGGTGAAAGGGTACAAGAAAATACTGGTGCTGTACACCAACTACGGGAAGCAAAGGAAACCCGAGAAAACCAACTGGGTGATGCACCAGTACCACCTGGGAGACGACGAGGACGAGAAAGAAGGCGAGCTCGTGGTGTCAAAGGTTTTCTACCAAACACAACCTAGACAATGCGGTTCTCTCCTCAGGGATTCTCCTCCTCTACTTCAGGCGGGGCCGCCCGCCGGACGAAAGCCCGGCTCTCATCTTAGGGAAGCTTCAACAATGGTGGAATCCTTCAACCCAACTCTCATCTCCTTCGATCAATTCGACCATAATCGTCCCACTTCTCGACTCCTCCCAACTTTCAACATGCATGACACTTCTTTCATTCCTTAATTATTAGCTTACTTAATTTTAACTGTCTCTGATCTTTTCTTAAGGTCTTAAAATATATGTTGATGGGATAGATGATGATGATGAAGAAGTTAACTTGAAGCAGTTATGGTGGTGAATAAGTTAACTTACTGGGGTGGTTAGGGGGGGAAGAATAAGGGGGAGTGAGCAGAATAAACTTCTGATTTAAGGTTGGAATTGAAGTTGAGGCTCAACCCTAATAGATCGAGTAATTATGATATCTTAAACTTTCTGAAATGGAATTTTTTTTTAATTATAATGCATGTTTTAATTACTTTGTACAGTAGTAATGCAGAAGTGGTTATGTACACGGCTCAGGATTTATGATCCATTGACTGGCAGAGTTATCATAAAAGATCAAGTTCAAGTGTACAAAGATACTCCAGATGATATATAACTTAATGTATTATTACTTTTAATGTTCGTTGTTTCATTTCTGGGTAACCATTATATTATTAATGATATATTATTATATGTCCACATTTCTTCTTTTGCATGCAAGTCCATCTATAAATTTTGCAAACAAATTTAAAAACAAAAAAGATGCATTATAGGTATGTATAAGATGTGTTGATGAGTTTCACTTCTAATAATTGACAGGATCTGCAGTTTTATTAGTAATAGGGTTTGTAAATTTGTGAGACATTTGATTAACACGACTTGCCTAAGAATAACAATAAGGTATGAAACTATGAATGTAGATGACCACTATTCTCCCTAACTCCACTCGAATGAGACACCATTAAAAAGAAATCTTACTTAAAACTTGCTTCCAATAGCAGAGTAGAAGTTTGGGTTGAGCTTAATGAATTCTCAAAAGTGTACAATTTGGGTTTGGATTGGATGCATTATGCGCAAGAGTGTACAATTTGGTGTTGAGTCTCAAAAGTAGATTGATTTGACTTACCTCTCCATGGGCCTAGAAGCAGGTTAATGGGGTTTAGGATATAATCTGGTGAAGCTAGAAAATCTGGACTATCAAAAAAAAAAAAAAAACGAATGAAAGAAACAATGAACAAGAATATTCTGAAACTTGCAGCAATAAAAACAGCCTAAAATATAGAAAAGAGGGAGGGTTGTTAACAAGGTGCACTCCATATATGATAAAGAAACATGTATCTCAGAGTTTACAACCATCCAAGAAATTGTCAATTCACTCAATCCATAATCTTGAATCACAACATCTTGAAATAGATACTGGAGTTTGTTCTGTACAATAATAATGACATGAGGAGCCTTGTGGATCTGATGCTCTTACTACAGATACAATTTAGATGTTCTGTTCTTTGTGTTGCACAGTCTGGGGGACTATAGTCTCTCACTCTGCACCAAAAAGTGGATAATCAAACTTAATCAGAAGAAGAATAAGTCCCAGCAAACACACATTACACAAATGCCAACATCAAATTGCTCATCAGAAAATGAGGGTAAGAATATAAGATAGTGCACACTCAAGATCGAGGATAATTGTCAGCATCCTCAAGTGCTAGGAGCTTAGGAGTGAATTCATCTGTCAATGATTCTCATGCAGATAAAGGGATAAAGGGAAAACATAATTTCTCCTATGAAATTCTCCCAATATATGGAGTAATCTTACAATAAGTTATGTTCAAATATTTACTCAAGCTGGTCCTGAGCCTCAACAAAAGGCCAGACTGGAAGGAATGGAAAAACAAAAATGGCTAATAGAACAGAAACCATTGGGTAAAAGTGTAAAACTCACAGAGCTTATAAGGTTCAGAAAATTCAGTATATGCAAAAGCTACCAGCAAGTTCTTAACAAGACATTGAACTATAAAGACATTAACAATATTTGTGATTTGTCCACCTCACTCAACAAGCAATCAGATTTCTGGTTCCTCGTTCACATTGATGTGAACACCATCCGACCTTTACTTGTCAATGTCTACTCTAGTGCAAACCACTGAAATATTAGTTTCACCAATCTTTGAACAAATCAATTCGTCAAAGTCTTTACTTCAAGAATGGACAAGGATGTATTAAGAATGTATGTTTGTATTAGAAACACACAGAACTTGGACCAATCATACTTTCAGCCCATCTCCCAACACTGACAACCTTGATGCTTTGAATCCAAGAATACATTTCTAAATTCTTACTAAGTAAATATAATACAGCAATCACTTCAAATTGACCACAACCTTAATCCAGCAAGCAGCTCAACCACCTTGTCAATGACACAATGCCATTTTTTTTTTAATCTTTCAGCCACTATCCTAAGACCCATAACCATTGATTGTACACTCTATACGCACAAATCCTATCTCTGATAGGTCAAGTTGTGGGCTTTAGGGTGATCGGTCGAACAAACTGACCTAGCTCGGACAACACAATGCCATTATTAATAGAAACCTAATAAAGTGACAACATTTTCAAAGCAAGCAGTTGAGCATTTGCAAGAAAGATTGAAATGATTCTCAATTGACACAAAATTGGCAAGTAAATTGAGAAATTGAAAACACACCTGAAATGGGAATTGATAAAAATTTGATCTTGAATATCATGGTTTCTTCTTTTTCCGGAGTATATACACGTCGGTCTCCTCGTAGGCATACTCTGGATGCAAATGCTCATGTGGAACTTTGTCGATGTCGAAAACCTCGACGCAGAGCTCCCAGAACATCTTGTGCGCCTCCGGGGATCTCAGCTGGTAGCCAAGTAAAACCGCGCCGTCCTCTTTGAGGAGAGATTCCATGGCGGAGATGAGAGGGGCCACCGTCTCCTCCAGGTAAACCACGTCGGTGGCAATGACAATGTCGAAAGGTTTGCCCAAGGCCCTAATCTGCTCCTCATTATTCCAATACAACTGAGCCGTTTTCAAGGACTTGTTCAAAACCTGCTTGTTTCGCTTCAGGTTGTGCTTTAGGGCCGGCATAACCGGGGCGATGTCGGTGACGAGTACGTCGTTCAGGCCCAACAAGAACAGACCCATGGCGGCGACTCCGCAGCCGGCTCCGAGCTCTACCCCTCTCTTGTTCTTGAAGTCGAGGAGTTCGGCATAGGGGTTTTCAGCGGCAGCGCACGACGGCGGGTGCCAACGCTCGGCGAATTTGACGGCGACGAGTGAGCAGGGCCAGACGCTAGTCCCCACATGCATCGAGCCGTTGTCTTGCTGGAAAGACAGCTGCTTATCCAGCACCTTCAGGTCGATCACCGGCGAATCTGTGAATTTCATCTCTACAACTTCCGGCGACTCTGTGATCTGGCCGTCAGCCCCGGAATGGCTTCGTCCCCTTTGAGTTTTGAGTTTATGGGCCAGAAGTGGCCCAGTTTATGTTATGGGCTCATATTAAGGCCCATTCTTAATGGTCAAGCTGCAACATTTTGGCAAATTATGCCCTGGAAACGTGTTCACCGAGAATGGTGAACACAAGGCCAAACGACGTCGTTTTTAAGTAAAAAAAAAAAAATCACGGATGTGGAGTTAACGGCGCGAGTTGATCAAATTATAAATTTTCTGTTATGAGATTATGAATTTTCATAAAATTCATAATCTCATAACAGAAAATTCATAATCGCATAACAGAAAATTCATAATCGCATAACAGAAAATTCATAATCGCATAACAGAAAATTCATAATCTCATAACTGAAAATTCATAATCTCATAACAGAAAATTCATAATCTCATGGTTCCAAAGTGAATGTGTAGGCATGGTTCCAAAATGAATGTGCAGGCATGGATTCATAATTTATAAATGTCCGTGATTTTAGACGGGAATGTGTAGGCATGGTTCCAAAGTGAATGTGCAGGCATGAATTCATAATTTATGAATGTCCGAAATCATTGTTCACCTCAAATTAAAGTGAAATCGCAAAATGTGAAAATGAAGAAGAAAAGTAATACCCAAAATCGTCCTCGACTATTGTTGTTTTTCTCAATTTCGTCCTAAACGACTTTGGTGACCTAATATCGTCCCAGACTTTTGTGTTTCGCTCAATTTAGTCCTCCATTTGTTATTCCGTCAAATTGGTGTTAAATAAAGGGACAATTCAGTAATGTCAATATTGATCTCTCTTTACTTTCAACTTGTGAAGTGCGAAATTCTTTTTTCTTGTACGAATTACACCCAGAATTACTCCCGGACCTGCAAATCAAATTTTATATTCGCAGTTTTAGGAGTAATTAATAATAAAAAGGGATTTCGCAGTTCACATGTCTATGAGTAAAGAGATGTCAATATTAAAATTACTGAATTGTCTATTTATTTAACACCAAATGGACAAAATAACAAATGAGTGACTAAATTGAGCAAAAACACAAAAGTCTGGGACTAAATTGAGCGAAACACAAAAGTCTAGGACGATATTAGGTCATCAAAGTCGTTTAGGACGAAATTGAGAAAAACCACTATAGTCGAGGACGATTTTGGGTATTAACTCCGCAATTAATTAAGAAAAGAAAAGAAAAGAAAAGAAAAAAAAAGATAACGGTGTACTAACACCGTTGAAACCGTGTTCACCATGAATGGTGAACACAGTTCAATGGCATAACGCTCCCAACATTTTCAGCTTTATGATGCAAAATGGGGCAAATTTTAATGTGGACCATCGTCCATGAAGTAAATATTATTCTAATTACATTTTAATTTTATTTGATAATATTGTTATGTTTTTCAATTTCATTTTCTACACACTAGTTTAATTGACAAATTATTGTGTGAACTATAACAAAAAGTACATTTTTAATATACTAAATGTACATTATTTGTGTACTGAAAATACATTATACAATATAATGTACACTTACTACACAAATAATGTACATCCCCTGAATAAAATGTACATTTTTAATACACTAAATAATACATTATTTTTGTAATAAATGTACATTATTTTGCAGTATACAAAATATGGTCTACACAGCTTGGGTGGACTATGGTCCACACACTAATGATTTAGTTTAATTATAGCAATACTAAAGTATCATTTTAATTCTACTACGGTTGCTGTGGCCACTCCGACACACCCCAAAGGCATGATCTGTGCCAGTTTTGTGCTTGAAAAGTTTTTTTTTTTTTTTTTTTTTTTGCCAAAAAACCATGAAAAAAGCATTAATGTGGTTGCTCGTATGACTCTACTACATTTGAACACGTACTATTAGCCTTTACTGAACTTTACCAAAGTTGTATTATACTTCATTGCCATTTGAGTCTTCACTTTATTGCATATATTGCTTATTGACCTTGCAAATATCTCACTATACTACTTCTTGTAGATTTGTATTACTGAATATCTACAAGATTAAGGGGAAGAATATTACTGAATATCTAACTTCACTAAAGCATTTACTTTATTGAGTTATGACTTAGAACTCTTCTTTAGTTCTTAAATATTTTATTTTACTGATTGTCTACTTTATTGTTCTTTATTCTTCTATTTAGCATTGAAATTTATTGACATATTTTG